TCGCCCGGCCCTGCCGCCAGCGGGGCGCCTCAGCGCGCAGCCGGTGCCGCTCCCACACGCGAGCCCCCGCCAGCACCGCCCAGGCCCTGCCGCCGCCGCGCTGCCCGCTCGCCTCCCGAAACGACGCCGCAGGAGCTCCCCGCGGCCCCCCCGGGCGCCCAGGCCCCGCCAGGAGCGCTGCGGGCCGCGGCCCCGACACCGCCCGGGCCCCGACCCCCGGCCCGAGGGCGCCGCCGCTCACCTGCCCCGGCCCCGCCTCACGGCCCCGCGCCCCCATCCCGGCCGCCGCCGCCGCCGCCGCTCTCGGCCGGTGAAACGCAGCCTGCTGCTCCCCGCCGGGCCCGCCCCCACCTGTCCACGCAGCCAATCAGAGAGCGCGGCAGGCAGCGCTTCGGGGTGCTATTGGCCGACAGCGCCGCCAGCTGACGGGGCGCTGCGGGGCTTTCCAGCCCATCGAGGTTGTGTGAGCGGCACAGGGGCGGGGCGGGCGAGGAGGTCGGGAAAAGGCAATTGGCGGAGCGTTCCCCACGGAGGGCGCCGATTGGCCGCCGGGAGGACGAGGGCGGGAGGGAGGAGTGATTGGGTGACGCAGCGCGCCGCTGCCCGCCCATTGGCTGCGCGGGCGGGCAGGGGCCGGGGCCGGGCGGGCGGAGGGACACGGCGCGGCCGGGCCTGCGGGATGTGGCTGGGGGGGGGCGGGGTCAGACACCACAGGGCGGGGTGGGGCTGCCTCAGGAAACCCCCCCGGTGTCAGTGCGGCGCGGAGCGGGAGCTCACGCTGATCATGGATTTGGACCCGTGACAGTAGAATTCCCCTTTAAAGTAATACTTAATGTGCAAAGAATTAGTGGTGGTGGAAAAATACCAAGATCTACGCGTTATTTTCCTCCACTGTGCAGCAGGACGGTCAGTAAAGCCCAGCTATGCTCTGGTAATCCTCAGGGTGGCCGTCTCTGCACACCGGCTGCATTTTCCCCCATGTGCTGAGCCGCCTTTTATCCTACTACAAAACGCATCAGTACGTCTGCTCTGAGTCCTGTTATCCCAAATTGTGTGATGTTTACATTTCGGGTATAAATCAATTACATGAGGAACATGACTATAAGTATTAACTATAATCACATACAATAAGAAAAGCTGACAGACATTATAAGAATAAAATATCAAAATATTAGATAGGAATAATTATATAGGGTGTACCTAGTAACTCAACAACAAATATTTAAAAATATTTCTCTAGTCCAAGTAATTACGTACTTAACTCTCTTACTTCAGCAGGGAAAATGACCAACATACACCATTTAGAAAATCTGTCCTACAGACAGAAGAGCACTTGTGACATTTAACCCGTGTTAGTATCCTATTGACCCATTGGGCTTGCAGTACAGCTCTTGTCTCTCTGACAGACTGCAGATGAAAGACAGACTACGACTGTTATTTACTCTAAAGCTCCTTCGCACCCCTTTAGAAGTAATAAAGGAGTTGTAAAGTGGTAACAGGGCTTTGGCAGTGTAAAATGGGCCTGTTGCATTTCTGTCATGTTAAAAACCCTGTCTGTAACACCAGCACAAGATACTTGCCTTTAAATGGCAAGGTTGTTGTGTTTTTTTTTTTAAACTGCACTCTTGATAAAAGAAACGTGTTTTGTAATTTTTAAGTATGGTAAACAAATTCCACTTTCAAAAGACATAGTATCATACAATTAAACATTATATGAATAACATGGAACAGTAGTTTGTGCTATGCCAGGATGCTGTTCATATATCACAGTACCCCAAAAGTGCAGAATATTCGTACAGAGCGGCTAAGTATTTCTCCCACTTCAAACATGGAAATAGAAGTTACTTATGCTGTTGCATTTGAAAAAAAAAAAAAAAAAAAAAAAAAAAAGGAAAAGTTATTGTAGAAGCATCAAAGATAACATTACAGCACTTTCAAAATATTAGTTGTGTGGTAAAAGAGGACTTGGGTAAATATATTAGGTATTTCTGCCTCCCCTTGCTTTGTTTTGTTTCATTACCAACAGTTCTAATTAATGATTTAGTAAAATAAATAAGGATTAGTTACATAGGTTGGAGCCTGAGAGTGAAAAGCCGTACGGGCCCTAGGAGGGAGCCTGAAGCTGTATTTCATAGGGCTGAAGCTGAAGAGGATTTTGTAACAGAAAGACTACAGCCACATTCTCTTACTTGAATAGGAGCCTGCTATACCCATTACAGCAGGACAAACCTGGCAGTAAACTGCAGCTTGGGCATAACTTTGGTTTATCGCATCATTTCCCAAGCTGATACCAGCTTTGTGTTCTGTGATTGAATGTTTTTTCTGTCTGGGTTTGCGTAGTCTATCACATTGGGAAAACGTTAACTGCCCAAATCAAGGCAGGATGTTTTACACTGCTGTAGACATCCCTTCTGGTTCTTAAACAATCAAAAGCATGAATGCTGGTCTTGGGATACAAGCATCCTTAATGTGGCACCACAAGACTTGCTCATCTGGTGGCTAATTAGCAAGTTTTAGACATAAGCTTCCAGGGAACTCTTCGTAAAATGGGACCTTCCATCTTAGATATGTATGGAGGACATAACTCGTATGACAACCACTTTTATGCACTGCAGTGTTACAATTTTAACCTTGCCTAGCTCCTGTGTTACTGCAGAGCATTCTTTTTCCATATCCCTCGGTAAATGTGTCTTAATGCTGTGCTCTTTATGTATACCAGACAAAGTCAGTGCCTGCACAGAATACAAACTCTGAGTAAGCCACTGCATGAAAACCCCTTTTCCATCACTGAATGTGACAGAATACGCTTTTTCATAAACGTTTGCCATCATTTTATGAATAGTTAAATAAAATGATGGTGTAAGTGCACTTTCCCATCTCAGAACAGTATGCTGCCATTGTGAAAAATCCCCTTTTCTGCTGCTTAACCCTTTACTCGGTATTTGACTGCTGGAAGTGAAACTAAAAATATGAAGAGAAAGATATTCATTATACATTCTGCTAGCAAACACCACTGTATGTTGTATTTTTTTGTTTTGTTTTTTTTTTTTAGGTGCTAATCAAGTAGACATAAGAAAAGTAAAATACTGCCAGACTAACAACAGTTGGTCCAGGTAAAGGCTTGGGGCTGTCTGGACAAAACCTGAGCAGATGGGAGCAGGATGGGGAGGAGCAGCCAGGGAGGCCCGCAATGGCTATCACAGCTCCCGAGCATGAGGCCAGCAGTAGCCCTGGGGATGTTCCCTCACCACCAGTTCAGGATCTGCCTGTACCTGCCACAGCTGGCTCTTCTGAGGTAGACAGAATTCCCACAGAACACCCTCGATTTGTAAACTGTTCCATATCAGTCAGCCATGTTCATAATAGATTTCACTTTTTTTTTTTTTAATCATCCAGGTTAATTTGACTAGAAGGTGCTTATTCTGAAATAATTGAACACAGAGGTCATTCTTCATGTACTGAAAAATACACTTTCCTCTTTTCCTTCAGCTTTATCAAGAGCAGGACAATAGCACTAAGCATCACAAAATAATACATTGCTTTTTGGCAACACATAAATTAGCGGATTCAGAATTCAAAGCTCAAATACATCTGTGAACTGTCAGCAGGGGTGAAATGCACTGAAATCCCCCTTGGTTTTTGTTCACAATTGTAACCAAACCCATAAATCTAACTTTAAAGGAATAAGACTTGAGCCAGAAGCCCATGCCTTGTCTACACTTGAAAGAGTTGGCTGGTACAGCTACACCTTAGAGCTGTATTGGCAAGCACAGATTTCTTTTCTGGTGTAACTTAAATCACTTTCCGCATGGAACATGCTAAATGGGCTAAAGGACTCTGCCAATATAACGGCATCTATGCTAGGGGTCTTGCCAGTATGGCTGTAGCTGCATGGGAGTGATTTTTCATCGTTCTGACAGCTATTTTGGCAACACTTCTACATTTAGACAGAGTCCAAGTTAAAGTTGGCATTGTTCTACATTGAAAATAAAGCAGAAGAGAGGCATTGGCAGTTTATGGCCCTGGTTTTATATTATTTGAAATTGTTGTTCTAAAGGAATGTGTGGGGCAGGATCCATGTGGTCCTTTGGACGTTTGCCTCCCACATTAGTGCTGCATTAAAATGTCCTGTTTTTTTTCAGTGAGTGAGCTTTGGCAACCAGGAAAATTACATTACTAAAAAAGAGTGTCCATACTATTTACCCCAGAAATAGCTATCCTGGTGTTTTAAAGCAAATTTCCAAAGTGAAGTGAACCACAAAAGGAAGCATCTGGGCCAATGGACATGTGGATTAATGCATCATTCTTCTTCACTTTGTCCTCAGCTCAACAAAGAATTTAAGTACAGGATTAATTTTAGGCACACACATAAGTCCATTTCAAGTTTAGTCGTCATGTCAAATATGATAATGCTCCTTTTTGAACTTCAATTAAGCAGATATTTGAAATTAATCGTATGTTTAAGCACTGTGCAGAATCAGGATTTCTGTCAGAAGGGCAATTTTACATAGAACGAGGCTATTTATTGTGGTACCATCTGCATTTTCTTTCCTGAATTGGATGCTATGGTTGTATTTTAAAGATGTCCTACAGGGCATATTTTTCCACATAAGTGCATTTACATATTTGACTCTTTTTCTCATCTCTTATTTGATAAGTGTGGGTTTGTTTTTTTCTTTGGTCTTTTTTTTTTTGGGGGGGGGGGGAGGAATGGTGGGAGGATGGTCAGAAATCCACGTGGACAAGTTTTCATTGATTTTGTAATTGCATTTACTGTTGAGCTCTTTCCTCTCCCGCTTTGTGTTTGCGTGTGTAATACTGACATTTGGGTTTGCAAAAGTGCCCTTGTGGCTGGAGCTGCATCACTGCATCTTGTCTGCAGACAGCAGCCAGGCTGTTCGAAGCAGATAGGAAATTACATGTGTAATCAGTCAGCACCGAAGCAGTGAGCCAATTGGATGAGGAAGTCTGATTTAATCAAGACTTCTTCCTTCCTTTTTGTAAAACACAGAATGTGCCTGCTAGAAGCACACACAGACATATTTTTCTGCATTTTGAAAATGCAAAGCAGGCCGCTCATGACTTCGTACAGACTACCCACGCACCACAACTAAAATCTCCTTGGCAGTTCCCAGGTGAGTTTTCTGTGCACTTTGGCTTCTGCTGATACTTATAACTCAGTCTGAGTGACATTTACTCTGATACAGAGCAGGAGTGCCTGGCCAAAGTAAAATTGTGTCATTTATTGCAGGTTTCCTTATGTTGTTCTGGACTTTTTTTATATGCAAAAATAAATAGTCTCTTAGTTAAAATTTAACTTTCCCAACTAAAAGTCACTGTAAAGTGTTATGAAGCATGGATAATTTTCAATGCAGATACGTGAAGACTTGTATATTACACCATTCACTTCTGCATCACTCTATATGCAAGTATGTTGTATTGCTCAGATAAATCATGTTTTAAAGTGATATTTATATATGCATACACACAGATATTTATGTATATAAAGTTTATAGATATATAAAGATACATTTATTGAATATAAATGCAACTTTGCTTATTAGGTTATGCCAACTCACAACTAAGAAAAACGTCCTTATTTAAATTTGGCTATTTTCAGATGCCTCATTTAATCTGGTATTTTGAGATTACATTCAAAAAAATATTTGAAAGTTTACAGTCTTGGGATAAACTGTCACAAATATCAAAAGGGATAAGCAGATAGAAATAATCGGCCACTCTCACTGTTCAGAAAGGACATCTTGGAAAGTAATAGAAGAACGGTGAAAACTTTTACTCCTTGGTCCAAAGTTCAAAACTATGGGCTTCTATGATGCTCTTCATAATGAGGATGATGATGTATATGTTCTTGTTTATCCAAGCCAGGCAAAGGAAAGGCTGCTGTTAGAGGAAAGCACTTCCATTATTTCCAGTGAGGAAAGTAATTGCTTTTCTTTTTACAGCCTTGTAGTTTGCCAGAAATCAATAGCTGTGCTAAAGGAGTTTCCCCACCTCTGTAACTGGCATTGCATAACTGTGTGGTAGACAAGCGGTGACAAAATGATATGTAGTAACACCTCTGTCCTAAACCCCCTCATTACTTAATAACCTCTCCTTGGGCATTATTTCTACATTTAGGGCAGGGAGAGTTGAACTTTTTTAGAGTAGGATTTTCACCCATTGGATAAACTGTAAGCAACACCTCTCATGGTAACTAACTGAACACAGCACCCTGGCAAAGTGGTTAGGATGTTCTTAAAACTTTCTAAACTGCTGGTAGAATGCAATGACGTTAGAAGTATTTTTTTTTTTTTTTTCATAAAACGTATATCTTAAGGAGACATTTATGTGGCAGAATAGCCAATCCAGTCTATGGAGTAGTAGATTGATTTAAGCATTTCATAAGCACATGGCAAAATATCAGTCCTAGCAGAACAGACTTACAAATCTACTACAAGTGCAGTGTATGGACTAAAAGAAGTAAAGGAAGACTGCTTGTGCATAATAATTAGAAACCTCAGTTTGCCTTCCACCTAGCCATTGTCAAACTCAGTTGTTTCTCTCACAGTACAGTGACAAGTCTCTCTGGAGAGAACTTGAAACTGTGAAATAAAACAAAAATATTATGCTGTTTCAGATAGCGCCTTGTTTTGCCTTATAGGCCAACACAGTAATTAAGAACAGATGGTAAGTTCTGGAGTCTTGAGAATGGTAATTTCCAGCAGTATAAGAGAGCCAGGCTGCTAGTTATACTGATAATCTCCCAGATTTGAGTCCACATGAACTAGTACTTGTGAGGTGTGGGGCAAAAAAGATATATATATAATAAATCAGATTTCAAGAGAAAAAATCAGCTCCCACTGAAGTTTATGGCAAAATTCTCATAGGTAACTAAGGAGCTATGCACCTAATCCTATTTAACATAACTTACCGTGATTTTCATGTTTGATTTTACTCTGCCAAAAAATGTCCAAGTACTTTCAGTGGTAATATTAATAAGAATAGTTCTTCAGTGGTAACTATGTATATATTTCTATTTATTACTTTAGTTTTCATAAAACTACTGTGCCCTCACACATGTTCACAGAAAGCGATGAGCAAGCCAACGAAAAAGATAACCAGACTAGAACCTCTAAAGGCATGCTACTAAGAAATGTCCTATTTTTTGTAATCTTTCAGTGACAGCTTTACAATGGAAGAAGACACACACTGCACAGCAGAAAGGGGGCTGTTGGAAGCTGTGAGCAGGATTACTATGTTTTCTACCACTGCTTCTCCTGATGAAGAACAAAATCAACCTAAAGCTGAAATTTCTTGTCAAGTGAGCAAAGAAAACCCAAAAAAAGATGATCTCCAAGGTTGATGCTATCCTTTCATTTTATTTCTCATGTAGTTATTGACCACTTGTATAAAAACTTCACTTTATTTACTACAATAGTCCAAATTTACATTGCCTACTCCACTGAAAATAACCCTTGATTAAACTTGTAATAGTACTGTAGCAATAGCAAAACAGATGCACTTCTTGATACACACACACACAGTTTTCCTTCTAAATCTCTTGTACCTGAAATTTATTCCAGAATAAATTTACACACCCGAGACCAAAATAATGCTCATCAGATGGCCTGTCTTGGGAGCACTCTTTCTGTACATCACAAAATCTGAATTTCTTGGCAGTATCATCAAGGACACCAAGAACTTGATTGAAACTAATCTCAAGCAGTAGTTTCTCACATGCCCAACGAAGAGGCAGCATTGGACTTCTACTATCCCTAAGATTACTGTCACACTATTTAATAAAATGTTAAATATAATTCATAATATATACAATTTCATCAAGATTTTCAGCCTACAAAGCTATCATAAACAGCACCTCTCTCTCAAGAAATAACGTTATTACAGAGATTGAGCCAATCACTGAAGGCCTTGATATTTAGAACTGTATGACCAAACAATTAACAACATGTAAAAGTGGGGCTACTGATGGAGTACTACAGTGCTTTTACATTCCTGTTTCTGCATCAAGCAGTTATCCTCCCATTCACTTCCATTGTCTGCATGTTGCAGGCTGACTTCAGCTGACTGTGTTGACGGAGACATTACTGATAGGAAACTGAGACTGCTGTGCCCACTACTCCATTTCTTTTACCCACTTTGTTAGGCTGTATGCCACTTGACGAAAACTGTTGTCGCTATATTTCAAAGGCAGAGAAATCACCCTTCTGAAAAGTTTCATCAAATTCCCCTGTAAGCGAACCAGCCAAGCTTCATTTTTACATATGCATATACGGTGGGGATTTTGTGTCTGTGTATGTGACTGTGCGTGGAGGAAGGAAGGGAGGTGCACATACAGATATCACTGTGGCATCACTTCAGCTACCAAAGAAAAGAGGATGTGACAATTCCTCCCTCAGCTAAGCTGGTTATCTGAGTTTCTTCTTTAAGGTTAGGACATTCATGTTTCTCAGCTTTCACCTGTTACTGCACAGTCCCGATATTTGAATATGGTCAGTATTTAAATATATGTCTGAATTTGCATCTGCATTGTATTATCTCATCCTCTGAGCAAGGAAGAAGGCTGGAGAAGCATTTGATTCAAAACACTGAGTCAGAGGGTTTTAGGCCTACTGGGCCTCAGCTGGAATGCTGAGGCCTACCTCCTGCCCGCATGGCACCTGAGGCTACATCCTAGACATACAATACTTCTTGTCAATATTTTTCCATAATAAGTTAAATTTATATTCTGCAGCCAATGTAGTGTCTTTCAAATTTCAGATCACAACAGCTTTCCTTAGAGAACCTGGAGCAGTCTTTATTAGCAGTGGAATCATTCTTTAGGTTTTGCTGTTATGGCAACAGAAATTCTAAGCTCTGCTTTCACAATAAACATGTAGAAGTCTTCTTTTCAAATACAAAGGTTATAATCTGAAATATTTTATATATTGGTTTTAGATTCTAATGCATCCCTAAGTCCCAACTCTTCAATGACCACTAAGGAGCTTCAGGAATACTGGAGGAATGAAAAAAGCCAGTGCATACAGGTCAAACTCCTGTTTGAAATCCCATCAACCAGAATTGTAGAGCACCACTTATCTAAATATGTGGTAAGTGAAAAAATTAATATGTAAGAAGATCATTAATTTTTATTCACTCTACAGGGGTCTACACAGCACACAGCATGAAGGCCTCACTGATGGCCAGGTTCTGCAAGCTGTGATCATACTGAGTAGAGCCTGTTCTCACTGTTCATAAGGGCATAGCTGGTGGTATCTGCCCCTAAAAAAACAAACAAACAAACAAACGACAAAAAAAATCACCCTCTGACAATCAGTTCATAAAACCTGCAGCAGTGGGAAAGCAATATCAAGTCAATTAGTTGCTTGAGTATCCTTTACACCCAGAGGCTTGTCAACATTAAAGAAATTCACACAAGTACAAAAATATCAATGCAGTTACACTGGCACTGAGCTAGACTGCTGTAACAGCTGCATGGTATTTATATAACCTCCACATCAGAGATTTATGTTAGCACAAGTGCAAAATTCTTTGATGTAGACAAAATTTAAGACATCCTCCAGCTAGATCTCTTCTGGGATTGTTCCCCTTCCCTACCTAGAGCTCCATTAGATGGAATATTTCTGTCATATTTTTAAGGTGAAGCATAAGTATGAGGGACAGGAACAAGAGAATGGGTTGGATTTTCATACCTTTTCTCACAGCACTGAGACTTAGGGGTTTTTTATTATTATTATTTCTGATTTTGCTCTTGGACTTCTGGAGGACTGATCTAGAGCAAGTCTTCTTCAATGCTTGTCAGTGAAATTCAGATAGGGTTGTTTTCCTCATTTGCAACAATCTCTGAGATCTGCAGATGAAAAATGCTAACAGTCATACTGGTGACACTGATCCTGGGTGGTGCAGCTCGGTAGAATTTAAAGCAGGTTCTAGAGATTGTCCAAATATTTTGTTGCACATTATACACACCTATTTTGATGCTACTGTCTTACACACCCTCAAGAGTATCCAAGTTATTGAATAATTAAAAAATATTTTAGTACAGCTGTATGAGGACCAGGTTATCAGTTGGCGTAAGTGCAAGTAGTTAAACCTAGTTGTTAAGTCACAAGCCTAGGCAAAATAATTTACATTACAACAAAATTGAGCCAATTTGAATGACAGTTTAATTAAATGGTATTTCTTCTCTTTCTCATGCACACTACACTCACACAAGAAGTACATGTAAATTATTCACTTAGCTGCCCTTTATAAAATGATAACTTACGATTGCTTTGGATATGCATCAAGAGTATATACACTTTTCAGCAGGGATCACGGCAAAATATAGCAAAACGTCACAGTGCTTAGAAATGAAAAGAGATCAGAGGAGTCAGATCAAATTTAGAAACCTTTCAAGAAATGCCTGTAAAGATCATTTATGAAGATTAATACAGAGAATTTCTCTGTAAGGAAAATCAAGGAAGAGCATCAGAATGACACTAGTGCTAGTACTAGTTTGCACCCTTCTATACCAGCACAGAAAACAATTGGTGTGTGTAAAACTGCTCCAGCTCTTGTATAATTCAGTGGGAAGTTGAATGTGAACATCCAAAAGCCAGCAAGGTCAACAGTCCATGCCCTTAGCTGGTGCAGAATGACACAGCAAAGCAGTGGAGCTCCACTGGTTTATTCATATTAGGTATTTGGCCCTTCTTCAACATTATGGTGCTTGGATCAGGCCCAAAGGAGACTGTATCTGTACAACACAGCTCTCAAGTTTATTTTGCAGCTATTTTGCTAATATCACATTTATTATAGTCATTTTCTTTTCGAGGCCAGAAAAGAGCTGAGGAAGATGGACTTTTGAGAACTGTTAATGTGGGACAGCATTGCTGTTAATGAAGGATTTTGGCTAACAAACACAGATTTTTGTAGAAATGTCACCTTTTTGCAGTATTTATATATGCCAAGAAAGTTTGAACAGGATTTGAACAGGACAATGATTTAAAGGGGAAATGAGACTTTGGATTTGCTCCATCTTATTTTTGCATACACCAAATGTTACTGCCAAATATTCCCTCTTCTTTCACAGCATTAATAAGGCCCCCAAATCCTAGAAATGTCTGATACAAACATAATTTCTGTGTATTACCACCAATGGAAAATACATTAAGTTCAATATTAAGTCTGGGATATCCATTCAGTTCACTGACGATGATTGATTGCAGCAGCCATGGCTATTAGAAGCAAGCATAGCTACAGAAATGCTCTGTAAGTGATTTTATGTGCTTCAGTCTGCTAGTTCACCATTGTCAGCACTTTGCAGGATGGGATCCATTAGTACTTTGTTTATCTACAACTCATTTACATGCAAAGGCTAAGTATGGTGCCAAAGTCCAAAACAGCTGGAGGGGGGAATTGTTGCTTTGATGGCTACAGATCTCAAAGATCAGCCCTACACTGAGCATACTCTGTAATCCTAGCCAGTGATTAATTTAGAAACTGCACAACAATCCCAAAGAATATACAGGATTATATGCATGAAAGTGGTGAAGGAAGGTTTCAGCTGGTGGAATATACAATCACAATCTCCTCAAAGCAGTAACAGACCCAAAACGTGGCTGCACTGGGGCTAGGATGGTCCTTCTCATTTTTGTTTTTCTTTTTTGTTGTGTTTAGATGTATAAAATCATAATTTTGCAGACAGGAAGCTTTGACAGCAACAAGTCTGTAATTGAACGGCGTTATTCAGATTTTGAGAAACTGCACAGAAATCTTCTGGAGGACTTTAGTGAAGAATTGGAAGATGTGACCTTTCCCAAAAAAGCCTTAACAGGGAACTTCACAGAAGAAATAATCAATGAGAGAAAACTAGCCTTTAAGGACTACCTGAGGCGTCTTTATTCTATGAAATATATCCGAAGATCAAAAAAATTTATTGACTTTTTAACAAAGCCAGAGCTTCAGGAAGCATACGGCTGCCTGCGAGGTGGCCACTACACCAAAGCTTTGGAAATCCTTTTAGAAGTCATTGGTCTGCAGGAGAGGCTGACGAGAGGCAACCCTGTCTCAATTGTCCCTACTCTCTGTGCTATTGTGGTGTGCCACAAGGACCTGGACAACCCAGCAAGTGCCTTTGAATATGGAGAAAAAGCTCTATCACGCCTTCAGGTACATAACAGTCACAAGTATTATATTCCCCTGTTAGAAGCAATGATAACTTTGGCATATGAACTTGGAAAGGATTTTTTGTCTTTGCAAGAGAAACTGGAAGAATGGAAGGCAAAAAAAGATCCCGTACGAGTTTTTACCCTGAAAGAACTTGCAGTTCGGGAGTATGTACAATGAATACAAGACATAATTTAATTAAATAGCAAAGCTGCCTGCTCTTTTTCCTGAACACAGTAACTTGAAAGAGTAATAACTGGAAATTACCTGTTAGGGTAACATAACTTTAAACTAGTAGAACAAATATATATATGTCAACATTAGCATATGTTTGAAAATGTTATATTTACTCTACAGATCTGAGAAGCACCTAAGCTTAAGACTTCTGGAAAGAAATTTGTAACTAAAAGTCATTTATAATTTGCTTATTTTGACAATATTTTGAACATAGCCCACTTTGTATGCATGGATAGCTAGAATAGGAAAATGCAATGAATAAAGCACTTAAGAATCTGCAGAATCAGAGGCATTGCTTGCTCTTGGGGAAATTACTTCCTTTCAAGAAGAAAAATATGTAAAGGACACATTTTCAGACACCAAATGTTGTTTTTTACTCTTCCAGCTGAAGCCCAGTCAAACAACATTTTGCGATTTCTGAGAATGCTGAGGTTGGTCCTGTTCCTACTGAAGTCACCTTCTTTGGGGGGAGGAACTGGGGGAAGGTATGCAACCAACTTTGGTAGGAGTAAAAAAAAAAAAAAAAAAATACAAGTGATGGTCATGCCATCAGAGGTGAGAGAATATGCTTCATTTTCCTTTTGTAGCTGACACAGTTTTATGACTTGCATTGAAGGCATATTCTTGTCTGAGGCAATTTTTAAGAATAGCTCTGATCTGAGTAAAAAATTCATACCACATGCCATGCATAGACAGTGGAAAGGAACCACTGAAGGGTGCTGCTGAGGAGAACATCTGGCTAATATAATGGTAGCATTTAATTCTGATTATCAAGCTGTGGGACACATGATTAATGAGCAATCTATCCTAATCACATGCTTCTCTGTTGTCTTTCAGAGGTTTATGTAAATTGGACTTTGCCTTAGTTTTACAGCCTGGTACACCATACAACTATCATTTTGGTGGCTCTTCAATATCACATCTAATTCTTTGATGAACCCAATCCACATATATGAATACTACACTTAGCTTGGCCCTAACACTCTTGTGAAAGCTTCCTAACAAATGGAAAAGCCTGTGTTTACCTGCTTCTGTCATTCTCAAAACTTTTCCCATATGCTGGTAATAATCTGGTAAATTAATTGTTAGAAATATTGTAATTAACAGGTCATGCTAGCATGGGTCATTATTTTCTGCAGAATGTAGTCCACTGAGTATTTCAAGGCCTGTGCTCCAGCTAGAAATACTACATGCACCACAGCTGCATTGTTTATGAATTAAGAATAGCTGTATTAAATTGCCTCCCAGACATATAAAAGAATCAGCCGTTTGAAAATGCGTTCAACCTGAAAAACATTACTGTGCATTGTTACAAGGTGAATGGCTTGGAAAAAATACAGAATCATAGCAGGGTCTAGAGTGGAAAGTTAATATTTTAAGTAGGTATTAACAGCTAGGCATTAAACTCAAAATATGTGGATTATAATATTTGACATATAATTTTATTTTTTTCTAGTAATATTAAAAGTAAGAGAATTAAGAGTAATTAGGAGACTTAAGGACTAATCTTCCCACAGCACACCATATTGCAGGACAGTCAAAATGGACCAACGGTAACACTTTCTTCTAGGATCACATCTCAATCATTGACAAAGCAGTGACAAAAGAAGCATGCCTGCAGCCTGCACCATGCTCAGGCAGCTTGGAGTTAAGGCAGAAAGGAAGCATGGCCATGACGCTGCTCCACTTCCACAGTAGTTTGTGGTGAAAGACCAGAACAATAGGGAAACAATTTTCCCCCTTTTGTTCCCTCCCCTCATTGTGTGCAACATCCCAGGCACAGCTGCCTTGGATTCTCCTCAGGTTCCTGTGAGACTGTGTGAATAGCTAATTGTGTCCACAGACCCTTGTCCTACAGCTGACTACAAGATTAGTGGGTCCATAAGTATATGCTGGCTAGCAAAGACAAGTACCAGGAAAGCAGCACATCAGAGAGATCTTCCTTAACCTTTACTTGTGGTGATGCTGCAACTTTCCATCTCTGAAGGATTAAGTGATCCAAAGCTGACCAATTTTTGTTGGCATGGCAGTACACATTAAGAATATGAGGTGGTGCGATTTGGCAAAGAGAAAATTTTACATCATCTAAAAGGCACTAAAATAAACTTTGCCAAAAAAAAAAATACTATTTTGGTGGTAAAAGCCAAATTCCTTCTGAGAATGCTTTTCCATATAATATATTAGCAGAGTTATATCAGCAAAATGCTCCTAGAACAAGTCGCTTTGTCCCTATCCACCTAAAGACAGATGTTATTCTCCTCTTTGTATTGTAGGGATAATGAACAAAAAAAATACAAGAATGGCGCAAAGAAAGAGCAATGCGCCTGTTGTATAGTTTCCCTATACTGAACTTTTTTGATGCAGAGCCCTTTCAGTGCATCTGGGGCAACCCCTTAGCCACACTCAGCTTTTTATCATTCCTCAGAATCCACCTTCAGAGCAACCCAAGAAGAACACACCTTGCTTAAAGGCCTGATTGCAATTTCATCTGCACTGAGACTTCCTCAAAAAGGAAAGTTAGTATGGCGATGGCAGCGAACAGGAACCCAAGGGGCCTGGATTCCACAGACTTCTTTTGAACTTTGCTCAAGTAACTTAACCTCTATTTCCTCATTCAGTACTTCCCCGCTAAAGTTTCCTCAACCAGGTTTTCAGTGGTCACTGAATAAAGAAGCTGTGAAACTTGACCAAATAAGTTAAGACTAATGTTTAGCTTAGAAACACGCATTAAGATGGAGGCAGTTTTGATTTATACAAGACATTTCATTTCTTGAAGATATTCTTGGAACAGAAGAGAATTTAAGAGGCAGTAAATTGTCAAACCTGGATGATTATTGTTGATTGCATAGTTTCTTAGTAATGCTGTCTTATTTTAGAATCAGACATTAGTTTCCTTATACATTAGAGAAGGTACAAAAGCCTCTATTTACCACAGTGAGGAGATTCTGCCTCATCAGGTCCACAAGGAATCGGCCAGTTCTGATTTCAGAGCTACGTACACTCAGAAACTGGTCAGACGTGCCGAAAGAATTCGGTTTTCATTTACTTACATTTCAAAAAGTCAATTTCTCCTTCTTTTTTTTTTGGTTGTTTTGTTTTCACTTAAGTAATGGTAATGGCACCTCTGCTCCCATACTGACCCTTCTATCTTCTACTTGGAATGACAGCCTGAAAGGACCAGGTTCCCTCTGCATGTACATGTGACAGTCTTCCACAATTAAAAACATGTAGCCAGGTAAGCAGGTGCCCTCTTCTATAAAGCTATGCTTTAGCTCTATTTTATCAGTATATTCCAATATATCATCATTACCATTTTACAGCTTGGGAAATGCCGGTACAAATGAGAAAAGTAAATTTCTCAAAGTCTCATACAGTGGTCTAGATTGTTTGGAGAGATAGTTAAGCATCGCTGGCTTTACAGCTTTGCAAAATAGAGACACGCCACAGTTCTATGTTATTAAGTTCATCTTGCATGGTCAACCACAACAAAGCTTTATTTTTGCCTGATATCAGATACATGAGACAGTTGTGCACGATGTCTGTGGAAGGAAAAATACTTGAATAAACCTGTCATATACATTTGAAGAAGTAATAAGTGAATACAGAAAATATTTGATCTGCTATTTTTCATGAAAATACCAAGAAAGAAAGCCTTGTATAAGAGGCTTTTAGAATATATTAAAAATTTCTAAAAAAAAAAATATCATTTTTCATGAGGAGGAACAGAAAAATATATTCAAATGCATTTTCCAGTTTTAAGCAATTCTTAGAACTGCATTATTTCTTTCCCCTGCTCCTGTACTCTAAGCTAGAAGAACCAGACAGGCACTACAGAGTACCATAGATATTAACAATCCAATATTATCCACTTTCCTCAACATTCAGCATACACAAACAGCACACAATACATCCGAGCTTTCCCATGCAATCTTACTCTTCTCGTTGACACTTAGCTCTGAAGCATACAGAAGATAACATCCAAGTATAAATTTAAATATTTTTTTTTTCCAAAAGAAAAGGTCAAAAAACAAAACAAAAAAAAAAAAAAAAGAAAAAGAAAATGTTGTCCAACCAACATCTGCCTAGCATGTTTAACAAACCACAGGCTGCATACACACAAGCTAGAAGAAAATTTAAATAAAATCTGGGCAGATCATCTCCAAGAGTCCATGGAGAGTTGTACTACAATCTATTGAGCTTTGCCCCATTTCCATATCAATTATTATATCATTTGGGACATTAAGTAGATAATGCTGTTTACACAACTTTCTAAAATAACTAAAGAAGCCCATGAGGATGCCTAGTTACTTATGAAACATATGCAGACAAGATGCTCTCTGTGCAATGCAGCATCTTGTTTACAGGGAATCCTGTGATCTTTATCACATACTTGTTATTAACTGCTGTTATCTGCTGCATCACTGGAGGATAATATTTGCTTTCCTGAATCTTAATAAGGCTAAATATATTATTGGATTCAACAGATATATACAAGCAGCATGGGAGTCCAGTTCAGGACACAATCTAGAAAGGTTTTGTGCTCAGACAGCTGCTGAGCAAGTCAAATCAAGAATGTTTATTTTCTGATGAGATCAAAGGTGGGAGCAAGACGTGTTGAAAACCTAAACACAGTTGTAATGGTATAAAATACCGAATGTCAACTCCCATCTGAATGAGGTGAGAATCCCAAAGAACCAACCTGTTTGCATTAAGATCATATTACAACATATGCTCATCACACTTTGTATTTGCTGTATATACGGATACACAAGGCACTAATTTCATGTCAGAGCAGTGAGAGAGTAACTACACTGAAATTCCCCACTAAAATTTCAGTGTAACTACACTGAAATTTCCTCTTCTACACTGAAGTTCCCCCTGTACTCGTCTCTGGTGAGGCCACACCTTGAGTTCTGTGTTCAGTTTTGGGCCCCTCGCTACAAGAAGGACATGGAGGTGCTTGAGCGGGTCCAGAGAAGGGCGACGAAGCTGGTGAGGGGTCTGGAGAACAAGTCCTAGGAGGAGCGGCTGAAGGAGCTGGGCTTGTTCAGCCTGCAGAAAAGGAGGCTCAGGGGCGACCTTATTGCTCTCTACAGATACCTTAAAGGAGGCTGTAGTGAGGTGGGGGTTGGCCTGTTCTGCCACGTGCCTGGTGACAGGACGAGGGGGAATGGGCTAAAGTTGCGCCAGGGGAGTTTTAGGTTAGATGTTAGGAAGAGCTTCTTTACTGAAAGGGTTGTTAGGCATTGGAACAGGCTGCCCAGGGAGGTGGTGGAGTCACCATCCCTGGAAGTCTTCAAAAGACGTTTAGATGTAGAGCTTAGGGATATGGTTTAGTGGGGACTGTTAGTGTTAGGTCAGAGGTTGGGCTTGATCTTGAGGTCTCTTCCAATCTAGAAATTCTGTGATTCTCTGAACTTAAATTATTCTGCTCTCAATTACATTATAAGTTCTAATGTCTGTATAAACGTGCACAATCCATGTACATGGTGGATGGATGGATGGACAGATGAATCAATGCGTGAATGGAGCAGATAGATTTGGGTGTTTTGATGCGTAATACTTCCCAAACGTTTCAAGAAACTTATATAAAAGCTATTTTCACAAGGACCATGTGGTTATATACATACACATATGTAGCTTTATATATACTACCTTCTTTTATTAGTAATACATCTGTAAAACTGTGACTATTCAGGCAAGGAAAAAAAAATAATGAAAAATAAACTGATGGACAAAATGTTATCTCTCTACCAACTAATCTTTCTGAACTAGTGCCATCTGAATATTATTTTTTCATTCTGGACACTGTTAGAGTAGACTCAAACTATGACACCTGAAAGGCAATCCTAAATAATTTTACTGAAAATGCAAAATTTAAATCCTAACCTTTTTCTTAATTTTTAGAATCTCTGAAAGAGTTGCCTCCTCCCTGACAGCTGGCTGCAGGGTCACTAGATGGAGCTGTAGCATTTGCAGGAGCACAGAACCTCAAGCTTAAGAGAATAGAGAATAAACTTTTAGTTTTAAACAAAAAGGTTGAACTATTTGAAAATTAAAAAAAAAAAAAAAACCTCTGAAGTCTAACATTTAAATGTTAATACGATTAAACTAAATACATACGTGTGTGTGTGTGAATTCCATTGTGAGTTCAGACTGTAGCACCTAGCTTTCTAGCTGTCCTTCAGGACAATTTAACATACCCCTTTATCAGCCAGTTCTATGAGCTGGCTAGAAAGCTGAAAGAGAAAATGTTCTTGCAGGCTTTTAGACCTGGTGAGTTCAAAGGCAGAGCCACTGCAGCGCCTCAGTTCCTACAGTACCTTTTCCTTCTGATCAAAAGGAACTAAGTAAAACTTGCAACTCTTAAAAGAACTATCAAATAATGGGGGGAGGGAAGTAAAAATAAATGAACCCATAATGCCCTCTGAACAGTACCGGGGAAAGTTTATTGACTCCATTTCAGATAGCTGCGCTCCCAGTGGGAAAATGAGAGCTGATCACATTTTCATCTGACTACTATCAAATATTTTAAAGCATCATTAATTTATTTCCATAAAGGCATAAATATTTCCCGAACACTATGAATACACACCATTTCATTTTGAGCTTTTCCCCCTCATTGATAATGCAGAAGGTGAAGGAAGACACGATGGCTAAACTTGGATTGCAGTCACCAGTCATGTCTTTAACTATGCTTTAAATAACAAAAATATTTGGGAAGTAGCTCCTGAAAAACACAATAAGTCTGGCTAACAGAGGCCCTCAGTTCCCTGAGTTGTGTTCATAATTTTTTCAAGTTGCTGGGATAGCCTGGATTTGGAACCTACCTTCTCCCCCCACTGCATGCGAGCTGCAGACCAGAGTCTGAAAGCAGTCTCCCCTGCATCAAAACTTTTTTCCTCTAAAAGGCTTCTGCAGAGGCTGCCAGCTTTCAAAAGTGCTTAGGAAACAGCTTGAGGGAGCTGGGCAGTCCAGCAGCAGTGAAAAGCAAGGATTACTATGCCAAAATCTTTGAAAGAATACTCTTAGGAGGTGAAAACTTTGAAGGCGGTCTCCCCCCTTCCCATTCAGTTTCTTCCAGAAATTGTGGAAGAAAAAGAAGAAAGAGAAAGGAGAGAGCGAAGAGAGAAAAAAGATGCAATCTCCAAAGATGAGACGTGGATTTGGTTGTTTCTGTCCCTGCACCTCACCTCCAGAATGACAGCTTAGTGTGTGCTGAGTTAGCAGCAGGGGACTTCCATGAGCTCAGTAATAATATACAGTGCTTTTATAGTGCTTGCCATGTTCAGAACATTTTATAAATACCAGGCCAGATTAATCCAAGCTTTAAATCTGCATAAACCTTGGCAGAGGGGTCTGGTGCCCGTGAGATTATGAAGTCTGCCATGCAACTAAATTGTGATGATCAAAAGAAGAGGCTCAAAGAAGGCACAGCAAGAAAGAAGAGTGTGTTATTGGGGAATCATGAAGAGAAAAAAGAAATCTGGGAAGAAGCAAACAAATGGGTGGGCAAGGACAGCAGAGCTCAGTTGCATAACAGATGGCTGCATTCTTAGGGCTGATGCTGGCAAACTCTGGGAACGGAAGGGCATAAGTTTCTTTTTATCTCTTCTGGAGAACAAAGGATCATGACAATTTTTAAGGTAAAACGTTTTTTCCAGAAAGAGTGACAGGAAAACGAAGGGGGTTTGGTTTATGCACTTAACATTTCTTTTTTATCTTGAGAAGATAGCAGTGAGGCTACTTGGTTACAAGTAAACAAACAGCGGTGTAAATTATACAGACTTCACAAGCAGTAGCGAGCCCTACTGAATTGTTCCTTGATTAATATGTTCATCTGACTGGTCCACATAGCAACTGTAAGAAGCTTCATTTTTACCGTATCTTCAGAATGTATTTTAAATATTGTATTTTAAATGTATTTAAAATTATGATTTGCCTGCTGTGAGGTAGCTTAATGATAACTGACCTAATTTGCCATATAAATCTCTTGTATAGGGAAGTAATTCATTTCCCTTTGGGAAGACGATGCGCTCTCAAACAGCCTTCATCTGCTGCTGCCTCCCCAGACCCTTCAATGCCTAAGTTAAGAGGCAGATAATGAAGCCAGTGCAAGTGAGACCCTTTTATCTGATCTCAGCATGTTCTCCCTATTTCTCCCACCCTGTGAGCATGCCATTGACACTAACAATAAAGAAGATGAGGGAGCAGCAAACACAGTAAAAACCCAAACAAGTAGAATGCCGAGACAAAGAACAATTATACAGCTAACCACTGCCAGAGGAAGCACATGGAAGAGCTCAGCAGATTGTCTGTACATCAGTCCAGAGGTCCAATCTTTCTGCTGGATGTATTTATAGCTGCTATTCTGCATCGCATTCACAATGTCACCACGCGGCTTAATAGACCTTCTCTCTGCCTCACACACTGCAATTATATTTGGAACAAAACTGTGTCTGGATTTGCTAGCTATGGAAGAGCCTCCAAATTGGAAACAAAGCACTTGAGAAACCATCTCTCACCTCCCTGTTGCTACATTTGAAAATTAATTCAGAACACTGTCAGGGATTGGCTGCAGCAGCACAGGCTCCTGAGATGCCCCTAACTTCCTAATATTGTTGGTCTTTCCTTAGACACAGATGGGATTTATTCACAGAACACTGCAGCCTGAATGTACACCCTTCTCCACATTTTGTCTTCATAGTTCAGTGTAATTCTTAATTTTGGAAAAGCACATAGCCTTAGAGAGCTAAAAATCTCAGCCTAGGATCAAGTTTTCAGACATGCATCCTTGCTGTCCTTGCAGTACAGCTGAGTAGCACCCTGCAGTAAATTTTCGGTTACACGCTGAGGATGTTAAGTATTAGAAGACACATCTCTGCAGAACCACAGAAAACACGTCTTACTTGCATAATCTATTAGCAACGGTTACAGGCGCTTATGTCTCCTTGCACAGTTGTACTTACAAATCTGACTTTTCTCTCCAGATTTTGTTGTTGTTACAAACACCAGACTTCAAGCACTGTCTTTCCTAACCGTGTGGTTATAAAATTTCCTTTTGTCCACTGCTATTTAAGCCCTTCCTACCTGATGTAGATGACCTTCAGCCATCCGCCCTGACTGCTATGATTCAAGGTTGCCACATATCTGACGGGCTTTGTCTTGCTGCTCTGGAAACAGCCAAGGCAAGCCCTGGGGTTGGGACTTCCACCAGCCTGATTATCCACTTTGGTACCAGCAGACCTTACACACATGCTCAACCATCAGTAAGAGCACTGAACTACCTTCAGTTCCCTCCTGACTAGCTCAGACCTCTAAGGTCTGGTCAAAGCAACATCCTCTCCTAATTTCCTTAGCAAGCTGAATGCGTTGTCAGGCCCTACAGTTCACTTCCATAGAGGAGAGATGGTGGTGATCAAACTGCTACCTACGACTTTTTTTTTAATTTAGAAGAAAAGGATTAAAAGAAAGCCTTATAACAATGTAAAAGGCTATATACTAGTCTGTTGTTAAGGTGTTGGGTTTTGTTTTTCATTAAGATCACTAGATCTGAGGAAGGACCTAATTTTTTTTAGCCTCCTTCCTGCTGAACACATCAAACACATCACCCTGAATCAGCCTGTCCCTCCTGACTTCTGGCAAGTCCTTTTTTTTTTTTTTTTTTTTTTAAAATCCTGAGAAACCAGCCAGCGTTTGCTTCATCTCCAAGCCCCTTACTCTGGCAAGTAAAAATTAAAAAAAAAATCCACAATTCAGGTCCCTCAAAACTATTTATTTATTCTTCCTCCTGTCTTCCTAGTGCATGACTGTGACTGAGGCCAGATATCATGAGAAATTGTGTGGCTTTCTTGTTTGCTTACCAGAAGCAGCAAACATTAGAACAACGTGTAGATACACGGGGATCTGATAACCCAGCCATGTATTACTTCACCTGCCACCTCCAGGTTATTTGCAGCAGCCACACAGTTCATTCTGGTCAGCATTGTTACAACAGTACGTCATTACCT